ATAATGTATTATTATTATTATTATTTATTAAATTATATAAAATAATTTATTATAAAATAAATACAATATAATTATTTTATAGAACGTATCAGAATTTATTATAAAAAATATTTAATAATTAATTTTGGATAGTAAATTATTATAATTAGTTAATCATGCATTAACTAATAAAGAATAATAATGTATTATTATTATTATTATTATTATTATTATGGAAAATATGCTTGTTTTTCCAAACAATACTGATTTTACTGAAATACTGAAACAATACTGATACTGATCTAAGTATATAGGAATAAATTACATTTTAGAATATATTCAAATAGAATATAAATACATAAATATATTCAAATTTAAATAGTAAAATATTTCAAAATTTTAGCAGGCTTGCTGAGCAGAAGAGAAAAATTAAAAATCTTACTTTTCAAAAACTTTTGACTGGTAGTGTATAATGTTGTAAATGTATTAATTACAGTATCTATTGGCCAAAACAATGTTTTGAAATTTTTGGATGTTAAGATAATTGCTTATATTGTGCTTAAAATTAAATAAAAATAAAAAGTAAAATAAAAATAAAGCAACAATTGCAACAAAATAAAAAAAAACTGTCAAAATCCACAAAACTATTTTAAATATTCCTATGATGTATAAAAGTTACTATAAAACAATAAAAACACGAAATAAATACGTCATGGATGTGGAGATAAAGCGGGGGAGGGGCGTTTCCGCTTTTCCTGTCAATCACACGGGAAATGGGCGTGGCACGAGAGGACTTCAACCTATGAGAAAACCGATATTTAAATTTAGACATGACTACATAAATAATTATATTTTATATATCTAGCGTTTTGTCCGATTGAGTCTCGATAAAACGGGTCAAAGTCCCAAAAAGAGGCGTCGGTGTTACCGAAATATCCAGAAACAAACAAACGGAATCCGCTTTGAATCTCGATATGGAAGGACTTTAATACCGTTAGCTTTAGCCTGTTAGCTCGGAGTGTATGTGTGTGTTTATGTTCTCAACAATAACACACTCTCATCCACATTTACCACATGAATAAGAAGATTATTGATATGATCGACGACTGATGCTGTTGGAAGTGAAGGAAGCTGCTGGATCCTCCGGGATGTAACGTTAGTGTTTGTTTAGGTGGGTTTTTGTTTCTCTTCACATGTGCGTGTAATTCCGATGCTTGTGTTATTATCTGTATTGTATTTGTTTTCAACCCGACATGCAATAGGAATGTCTTTGTGCTTTGATATAGAAAGAAGCACGCATTTATTGATATAACCGTTTATATATAACATGCATCATTTGGCCTGTATGTCGATCACGATAAATAAAGTTATGCATGATGTCATCTTTTGTCTTTGTTGCCAACATTTTTAAAACCTTGCATGCAATGCATGCATCTAAGGTACGCATTTCCAATGTTGTGCATATGACAGATCTGCTGTAACGTGATGCACGCGCGTGAGTTTCACATGTCAGACGTGATAAACGTGGGTTTTCCCTCTCTGTTTATTGATCTGAAATGTGGTTGTCATTTATCCATTCAGTTTGCCCATCATCATGTAACCAAAGCGTCTATCAAAGCAGACTGATTTGAGATATCAGTTAGTAATCAAATGCTTGGGCTCAATTAGTGCTGGGCGGTATGACCAAAAATGTATATCACGGTATTTTTAAAAGTTATATCGGTTTCACGGTACATGACGGTATTTTTTTTCATGCATGACCGGGTGTTAAGTATATTTTCTACTGATTGAGAGAGGAAATACTGCAGTATATTGACTAGAGATATGCCGGTATCAAATTTTCATGTTGCGATTAATTGATAATGGGTTTATCACGGTATACGGTATTATCACGATGTTGAAATTTAGTTACAAAAAAAAGTGCTGTCATAATACAGTATAACAGGTTTAATAACTTTTTTCTTATAACAAAAATAGCTGAACATTTAAATGCAATAAAGCAATACAGAAAAATGTATAAAGTTAAAAGTTTTACACAGATTAAAGTGCAAAATTATTATTATTATTATGGAAAATATGCTTGTTTTTCCAAACAATACTGATTTTACTGAAATACTGAAACAATACTGATACTGATCTAAGTATATAGGAATAAATTACATTTTAGAATATATTCAAATAGAATATAAATACATAAATATATTCAAATTTAAATAGTAAAATATTTCAAAATTTTACTGTTTTTGCTGTACTTTGGATCAAATAAATGCAGCCTTGGTGAGCAGAAAAGATGTCTTTCAAAAATCTTACCTTATATATGTTTGCATCGGTTATTATCATGCTCTCAATGGCTCTGTTTCAAAGCCTCACTGTCTACTACCCACATAGGTTTTATTTAATTTAACCTTTTAAGGCATAAATAGTAAAATATTTCAAAATTTTAGCAGGCTTGCTGAGCAGAAGAGAAAAATTAAAAATCTTACTTTTCAAAAACTTTTGACTGGTAGTGTATAATGTTGTAAATGTATTAATTACAGTATCTATTGGCCAAAACAATGTTTTGAAATTTTTGGATGTTAAGATAATTGCTTATATTGTGCTTAAAATTAAATAAAAATAAAAAGTAAAATAAAAATAAAGCAACAATTGCAACAAAATAAAAAAAAACTGTCAAAATCCACAAAACTATTTTAAATATTCCTATGATGTATAAAAGTTACTATAAAACAATAAAAACACGAAATAAATACGTCATGGATGTGGAGATAAAGCGGGGGAGGGGCGTTTCCGCTTTTCCTGTCAATCACACGGGAAATGGGCGTGGCACGAGAGGACTTCAACCTATGAGAAAACCGATATTTAAATTTAGACATGACTACATAAATAATTATATTTTATATATCTAGCGTTTTGTCCGATTGAGTCTCGATAAAACGGGTCAAAGTCCCAAAAAGAGGCGTCGGTGTTACCGAAATATCCAGAAACAAACAAACGGAATCCGCTTTGAATCTCGATATGGAAGGACTTTAATACCGTTAGCTTTAGCCTGTTAGCTCGGAGTGTATGTGTGTGTTTATGTTCTCAACAATAACACACTCTCATCCACATTTACCACATGAATAAGAAGATTATTGATATGATCGACGACTGATGCTGTTGGAAGTGAAGGAAGCTGCTGGATCCTCCGGGATGTAACGTTAGTGTTTGTTTAGGTGGGTTTTTGTTTCTCTTCACATGTGCGTGTAATTCCGATGCTTGTGTTATTATCTGTATTGTATTTGTTTTCAACCCGACATGCAATAGGAATGTCTTTGTGCTTTGATATAGAAAGAAGCACGCATTTATTGATATAACCGTTTATATATAACATGCATCATTTGGCCTGTATGTCGATCACGATAAATAAAGTTATGCATGATGTCATCTTTTGTCTTTGTTGCCAACATTTTTAAAACCTTGCATGCAATGCATGCATCTAAGGTACGCATTTCCAATGTTGTGCATATGACAGATCTGCTGTAACGTGATGCACGCGCGTGAGTTTCACATGTCAGACGTGATAAACGTGGGTTTTCCCTCTCTGTTTATTGATCTGAAATGTGGTTGTCATTTATCCATTCAGTTTGCCCATCATCATGTAACCAAAGCGTCTATCAAAGCAGACTGATTTGAGATATCAGTTAGTAATCAAATGCTTGGGCTCAATTAGTGCTGGGCGGTATGACCAAAAATGTATATCACGGTATTTTTAAAAGTTATATCGGTTTCACGGTACATGACGGTATTTTTTTTCATGCATGACCGGGTGTTAAGTATATTTTCTACTGATTGAGAGAGGAAATACTGCAGTATATTGACTAGAGATATGCCGGTATCAAATTTTCATGTTGCGATTAATTGATAATGGGTTTATCACGGTATACGGTATTATCACGATGTTGAAATTTAGTTACAAAAAAAAGTGCTGTCATAATACAGTATAACAGGTTTAATAACTTTTTTCTTATAACAAAAATAACTGAACATTTAAATGCAATAAAGCAATACAGAAAAATGTATAAAGTTAAAAGTTTTACACAGATTAAAGTGCAAAAGACCATATAAAGTGCAAGACCACCACTATAAAGACCAATAGGTATCACTTTACAATAAGACCATATTAGTTAACCTTAGTTAATGCATTAACATTCACAATGAGCAATAGCTACATTTGCTACAGAAGTTATTAATTATTAGTTAAGTCTTAGTTCATGTTAGCTCATTAAATAACACAGTTGCAACTTTCGTGTTATTAAATATTGGAATACCTAAGATTAATGAATGTTCAGAAGAATTTTTCATTGGCACGGTATTTTAAAAATTCATATCATAACAAAAGTAAACACCGGTATTCGGTATGAACCGGTATACCGCCCAGCACTAGGCTCAATCTAATCAATGCTGCTTCTCTCAAATCAAACACTGGCTTTGTTGATCTTGAACAATAATGAGTGTTTTAACAATAAAGATATGTCATCTAGTTGCTTCACCCCAAAAAAACAAGCTCAGCCTGGCTAGATCCGGTCTGAATCAACAGTTTCTCGTCCCTGATGCTGATGTCATTGTGGTTATTGCAGCAACCCTCTACGTGACCCATTGACCTGCGGCTAAAGATAAGGGCGCACATATTTAGGGGCCGATATTCACCTCCCTTTTTGTGTCTTTGTGAAGACAGGACCGCTCAGGCAACATTGCCGCGATGGAGAAGACAGAGAAGAGGCCTGGATACTTCGCCAGGTGAGATGATGTTGGATCAGAATAACTCAGGAAGCACTTGATGGGAATTGAGAGCCGAATGCAGACATTAAGGGCTGAAGCGATCTGAAAGACGGATTAATAATGTTGTTTCAGGAATAAGATATTTTAACTAACACAGATTTTGCTGGAATAGCTCATTTCTGCCACATAAGAAACAAAATCATGCTTTGTAGTTCATAACTATGACATAAAAAACTTAATTATGCGATACTATGTTATAAGTTTGACATAAGAAGTCTTAATTATCACATAAAAACTCATAATTATAAGATAAGCCATAGTTATGACCTAAAAAATGGAAATTGTGATAGAAAAGTCAGAATTATGAGATACTAAGTCGTAATTATGACATAAATCAAAATTATGATGTGAAAAACTCTAAATGCGGATATAAAAAGTCATAATTATGACATACAATATGAAATTATAAGGGAAAAAGTCACGTTTTGAGATGCTATACAATAATTCTGACATCATGACTCAATTTTTTTCAATTTTTTCCTTTTCAATTTGCTTATCAGTCAAATAAGGGAGTAGATGATGCTATTTTAACATTGTTACATATTGTTTATTCACATCTTGAGGGTCCTAAAAATCATGTGAAAATTATTTTTGGTGATTTTTTTCTTCTGCTTTTAATAATATTGTGACATCTGTTCTGGTCGAAAGATTATCTGCAGATTTCTCTCTAGATGGAGGAGTGATTTTGTGGTTGCAGGATTTTTTAAGTAACAGAGTTCAACGAGTGTGTGTGGGTACCTCATTGTCTGACAAACAAATCACGAATATTGGTTCCCCACAAGGTTGTGTCCTCTCACCCTTACTGTTTATTATGTACACAAATCATTGTAAGAGTACTTGCCCAGCGAGATATTTAATCAAATTTGCAGATGATACTGCACTGGTTAGTCTCCTTAGAAGGGATGAGGACAGTCATGGACCCTTTTAAACTAAATTTGTTTCTTGGTGTGATGTATCAAATCTCAAGTTAAATGTTTAAAAAACTAAAGAAACGTGTATTGATTTTAGGAAAGAGTCCTCAACGAGTGTGACCATTATTAAAGGGGACCAGATTCAGAGGGTAGAAGAATATAAATACCTTGGAGTTGTTTTAGATCACAAACTGAGGTGGGATAAATGGACTGACGCTGTGAACAAAAAGGGCCAGCAAAGACTATATTTCCTTAGAAAGATGGTGTCATTTAGCGTAAGCCCTCCATTGTTAAAGGTGTTTTATAACTCTTTTATTGAAAGTGTACTGACTTTTTGTATTACTTGCTGGTTCGGGAATGTTACGGTGGAACAAAAGAGTATGTTCAGGAAAATTATAAGTACTGCGAGTAAATTACTTGATATCCCTGTGATGGGTTTACAACAAATTTATCAGACTAGATGTATTGGTAAAGCTATGAAAATTATATCTAATGATAGGCACCCACTGTATAATGAGTTTGAGCTTTGGCCTTCGGGTAGAAGATTCAGGATACCGGTGTTTTTTAAAAATAGAGGGAAAAAATATTTTATAACATTTAAATAAATTTAAATTAATAAATAAAGTTACTACTACTACTACTACTAGCAATTATGATATCAACATTAATGAGATACGGTGTCATAGTTGTGACAAAAAGTCCAAATATTAAGATATTTTAGGATTATCAAGGATTAAGATATTTAAACTAACACAGATTTTGCTGTAGATCATGTTGCTAGTGTGAAAAACTAAAAGGGATAGCCCATTTCTGCTACATAAAAACAAAATCATGCTTTGGTCATTCATTATTATCACAAAAAATTACAATCATGCCATACTTTGTAGTAAGTATGACATAAAAAGTCATAATTATGAGATACATTTACATTTAGTCATTTAGCAGACGCTTTTATCCAAAGCGACTTACAAATGAGAACAATAGAAGC